GATTATAAATAAAACAAAAAAATTATGGTAATTTCAAAGGTTAAAGTATGGCAATGGAAAGGATCGTGACAGGTATTTTGATACCATATCCGTCCCATTGCAGGTCGGGTAATTTATCATAGGACGTAGGTCGAGTCAGGTCAACTCATATATAAGTATGTAATTTAAAAGAAAGATTCTAAAAGTACTCATTTTTGCCATTAATACCGCAAGAAACAAACTAAAATATGATAAATATATTTAAATTATTCGAAAAATTGATGTTCTCACATATTCGCAACTTCATCATAGCTATAACAAGAGGTAATAAAACTAAAATTGTAAATAATTTAATTAAAATTACATGTAACTTAGGCAAAGCCAGGTCGGGAATGGGATGGGTCAAGGCATGTAAGATCAAGGAGAGTACCATGCTCGCCCTAAAACATGTCAAATAGGTCGAGTACAATGAATAGCTCAAAATTGTCATCCATACGGTTGAACCTATGTTGAAGGAGAGAGAGCTAATAGTTTATATATGAGTATATTCTGCCTTTTTATAGTTCCTGCAGCCGCAAGTAATTTAAGCTATTACTAGCTTTTAATCGCGCTTTTGCTATTGCCCCAAGTGAATAATAATAATAATAATAATAATAATAATAATAATAATAATAATATTTAGTTGCCTGGCTACCAAGCCTATTTTGATTTCAGACTTGGTAAAATTTCATGTCTTGGTACCAAATATGTCTTGTCGGCTTGGTACCTTATTGCCTGGTTACTAAGCTTGTCTTGCCGGCTTGGTATCCAGACTTGATCAAATTTCATATCTTGTCATCAAGCCCGCCTTGTCGATTTGGTACCCTTTTGACTAGCTATCACGTCTACCTTGTTTCCCGGCTTAATTTTTTAGAGCAATATTTCATATCGAATGGCTTGTTAAGGGAGAGATGGCATTGTTATTGAGGCCATGGAGGTGGACGGTTGCCAAGGCCAGGGAGAGGGCAGCCACATAGACCCAAAAACCCAACCCAACAAGGTCAACCTAGCTCATTTAATAATTAATGTTGAGCTAACCTTATAAATCGATTAGATCCCTTGTAATTAATCGATGTTATACAAGTTAAATTTTTTATGAGTAAACAAATTTTGTCCTACCTTCATTTTAACTCAAACTTTGAAATTTTTTTGCACAAAATGAACGAGTTCATCATGTTCTGTTGTAATGTACAAATTTAAGGAAAACAAATTCATGACCAAATATACAATTCTATACCACCTTGGTATTGGGTAGTAAACCGTGGTAGCCAGACCCAGACGGTGATCTAATGTGTAATAAGGTGATTAATATATTCCTACTATCAAGTATACAATTATTCTTTCCTATCATATATGCATACTACCACGATACACTTTCATTCCACTATGGTATACTCTTGTGTACTATCAAGTATTTCATCTATCTACACAATAAATAAAAGCCAAATGAGAATATTTGAAGCCCCATTTCAAATTTTCTGCATCCAGAGTGAAAGTAGGAAGGACATTTTGGTCTTCACAATTACTTTTTTTTTTATTCATTAAAAATACACTTACTAGGATTTGAACCATGACCACTTTAATGAAAAACAAAGATCATAACCAATCACACTAAGTACATTTGTTGTATCTTTTTAAATTAAAAACATATAATCGCATAGAGGAAAAAGCCATTTCCCCATTTCAAATTCTCTGCTCCAGGAGCGTTTGTAGGAAGGGTAGAATGAGGAGTGTCATTTTTTTTTCTTTTTCCTCTGTGGAACAAGCCAACTTACCGTACACATGCGGATTTAAACGGGTTCAGGAGTGTCAATTTTTTTCCTTTAAGTCCTTTTATTTCTCCGTGGTGGTAAAATATATATGAAAAGGCAAAAACAATACTCCTTTTTATTGCTAAAAAGAAAAAAATTTAACAATAAACTAATGCATGGATTGTAATGGGCTAATCGCTAATCATAAAATAAAAAAGTTGAATGGGCCTGACCTACACGGGATTTGCCCATCAAGTAAAACAAATGAACATCATGGGTTTGTCATTCTAAACCAATGGCATCCGGAAGGTTAAGTCAGGTGGTTGAAGTTCTCTAGCATAATATATATTATGCTATTATTTTATATCTTAGTGGCTAAAATATAATCTATTTTAAAGATTCAATGGTTCAACCTCGACCAACCCAATTAGTCATATTTTTATCATTTCAAATATATATTATGTAATTATTTGATATCATAATGATTAAATTATAGTGTATATTATAAAGAATCATTTGGTATTTGTAGATAAAAAACTAAATAGAAAGATCTATTTGGTTATTTTAACATTAAAAGGATCATAAACATTTTCAGTTTCTTTTCGAAATTCTATAGTTTTATTCCCGAATGAGTGATGTGCAAATGGCGAATTGCAGTCATCTCTTTTCTTTCATTATTTTTTATTTTCAAATAGAAAGTTTAAAAGTAAAGAATAATTAGAGTTTGGCATGGGTCGGTCAAACAGGCTGAATTTCAAGTTTTGGCCCGTTTTGATCAAGTCTAATTTATAATCACATGGTTCCCTGATACCCGATAAAAATTTCAATACAAACCAGTTTGGCAGGTGAGTTCGTGTTTACCACCATTTTCTAGGGATATAGCAACGGTGGTTCCTATCCCAAATCGTGTTGTTCATTCTTGATTTCTTTAGATTTTATCATGACTTGGCAAAAAACCAGAAAACACAATGATGACAAGATGAAAGTTTTATAAAGCAAATTAATCGGCCAACAGGCCGAGTAAAAGCTAGCAACAATTGTGAGATGCTAATTTCCCGAAAACCGGAGGGATACGCGATTTTTTATTCGATTTTCTGGAATTCGGTTTCTATAAAACTTACTCTACCTCATCATATTACCGGAAACAATATTGTTTCACAAGGTAACAGATACTTGATTTTAGTTCATTAGGCTGATTTTTGATTCGTTGCATCATTCATGTCTTTTTCCTACTAAAATTCACTATTTTTATCACGTGTTTCCCAAAAAAACTATACATAAATAAGCTATACACCCCCATTACATTATCAAATTTCATACCCCACCTTCCTCCAGCCAAATGGCTGGGGCCACGCTAGTCATGTTATAGACTAATAATATATGTTTTAATTTCTTTTTCGAACATAGTGGATGATATTTTTAAATAACACCATTTATCCATTTTTATGGAGCAAAAATAAATCCCGACCTAACAAAAGAGATATGACCCATAAATTTTATTGATGAAAACGTTATAAATAATCAGTAACCTATCACCAGCTCTTCAAATATATGTTGGAAAAAAGCACAATAAAAAATTAAATAATAGAAATGTCTCATTCATCATAGAAATTAAATAAGAAATCCACACGGAATATCAAGATCTAAAAAAAAATATTTGTAAAAAAAAAGAAAGACACATCTCAAAAACCATCAAGTCGTGGCTGTGTATGTGCTTTTTGGTGGCCACAAACTTTCTGTCCAGTCCGGAAAACGACATAGTTTTGGAGCTTTCGCCTCATCATCATACCCGCACCTTTTCCGCCCTCATAAATCATAATTATGTCCTCCAAGGAGTATGTATGGATTTCAGGCCTTTCATCTCCTCCAAACTTTCCCACAGAGATCGGAACAAAGCACCGCCGTCCACTAAACCAAGATCAGCTTAGCTGGGAGCTTATCAACAACTATAAGTTCTGTGTGTTGGGAAGATATGGAACAACAGCTTATGATGGACGACGATCAGTGAGTACAAACAAGTTGGCTTCCAGGACCCATCCTGTCTCGAGAAGAAAATAAGCAAATCAGGTATAATAGTTAAGTGTGAATGAAAATTAGGCCTATTTAATTGAGAATGGTTGATCGAGAGGCTTTGTGTTCGAATTTTGACGAACCTGTTTGTTAAGCACTTGTATTCAATTCGTGCAAAATTCAAGTCTATATAAGTTTACTTTCTTTTGAGGGAGTATGTTAGTAAATGGTATATATAAGATTTATTATAAAATCTCTTGCAACAGTTCGACTCAATAATACTAAATGATTTTTGACAAAGCATATCATCCGAATGTATATATGTGTTTTTATTAATTAGACTAGTCACGCTAGATCAAGTAATTATAAAGAGTTGATAAAAAAACTAATTATAAAGAGAATGCTGAACTTGTGGCCGATTTGTTTGCTTGCGGTGGATTAAATATTTGTGTTCTTTCTTGGTTTCCTTTTTTCTTGTAATTTTATTAATATTAATACTATATCAACATTAACAAAAAAAATTATTGTTTATGGATAATTTGTTATTTGCTTCAATTTTTTGAGTTTTCTAGATTGATGTTGAACAATTTGTAAGAATAATTTGTGATTTGCTTGAATTTTCTAGAATGGTGTTTTGTTTATGGATAATTTGTATGGAGAGATTGATGTTTGATTTTTATTTTGATAAGAACTTGTTATTGTAAATTTTTTTACCACAAAAATCCACGGATACCTAACGGGTTGGGTTTGAATTTTCCAAACCCAGTAAGTTTTACCATGATTTTTTTACGGACAAACCTATAAATTTGACAAAACCCGAATCAACTCGACCCATTGCGAGGATTCTTTTGGGGGCGGGTGGGATTTAATGGGGCTGTTGTCACTCCTCTTCTTCTTCTTCTTCTATTCTTTATTTTTTACGGCTAAATTACACGTTTGGTCACTCAAATTATACAAATCTTTCACGTTTGCCACCCGAATTACTTTTTTTTCTTATTTGCCACTAACTTTACGAATCATTTCACCGTTAGTCACCAACTGTTACACTCCGTCAAATTTATCCTACGTGGCAGTCCACTAAAGTTTGACTATTAACTAGATGACGTGAAAATTAAAAAATAATAAAAAATTCATTTATTTTTCCACCTCATCATCTCCACCAAAGATCCTTACGCAGTGAACTTTCGTTTCATCGCCGCCGACACTCTCCAAAAAATCATCATGCTCGTCGCCCTCGGAATCTGGACCACCGTTACCAAATCTGGCAGCCTCGAGAGGTTGATTATCATTTTCTCCCTCTCCACTTTACCCAACACCTTGGTGATGGGAATCCCTCTGCTAATCGCCATGTACGGGCCTTACGCGGGGAGCTTGATGGTCCAAGTCATCGTCTTGCAATGTATCATTTGGTGCTTTTGTTCCTGTTCGAGTACATGGGGCAACATTTTGATCATGGAGCAGTTCCTCGAATCGGCGGCGTCGATTGTGTTGTTTAAGGTCGACTCCGACACCGTTTTGCTCGACGGGAGGGAGTTGCTGGTGACAGATCTGAGATTGGGACGATGAGGAGCTTCACGTCAAGGCGAGGAAGTCTAATGTTTCGAGGCAGCCAGTTTCCGGGTTGGGGCTCGGCGGGAATGGTGAAGTCGGGTCGTTTTCCAGGTTGACCCCTTGCCCGTCGAATTTGACGGGTGCCAAAATTTACAGTCTGAGCTCGTCGCAGAATCCAACTCCCAGGGGTTGGAATTCAATTCGGCGGATTCCTACTCGATGATGGCACTTGGGAGTCCAGGGGTTCGGGTCGGGGTAGGGTCCGAGGGTTTCGAATTTCGGGGCAGAGGATGTGTACTCTGTTGAGTCCTCCCGCGGGCCGACTCCCCGATCGTCTAATTTCGAGGAGAATTGCTCCAATATGGCTACAGGCGTGTCTTCGAGGTACGAGTGCTACCCTGCTCCGAACCAGGAAATCGCTTCCGTCGCTGCCGCAGCATCGCTGGCGAAGGGGGCGAAGAGCAATCCTCTGGTGGCTGGAGCAGGCCGTAGTGACGACATTACAACGGAGTAGTAACGATGGTGACAGTGGAAAATCGAATCATGACGCCACGAAGCTTCATATGTTCGTCTGGAGCTCTAGCAATTCTCTAGTGTCGGAAGCCGACAGTGGTGGAGGCGGCGCCCGGCAGTCTCCACGTTCTCGGCGGATCGACTGAGTCTGATCAGGGCGCCAAAGAAATCAGGATGCTCGTCACCGATCATCTGCAAAATGGAGAAACAACTAAAGGTACCGAGTTTTTTTTTAATTTTTACTCTAATTACTATTTTATTTTTAAAAAAAATTTAGTTTCCATGTTATCTATTTAACGGTCAAATTTTATAGTTGACTTCCACGTAAAACAAATTTAACGGAGTGTAACGGCCGGTGAGTCGGTGACTAATGAAACGATTCGTAAAGTTAGTGGTAAATAAGAAAGAAAAGTAATTTGAGTGGTAAACGTGAAAAGTTTGTATAATTTGAGTGACAAAACGTGAAATTTAGCCCTTTTTACCATGCGGTCACTCTTCTTCTTTGAGCGAGAGGTTAACGCAAATACGCAATCGTCGTCGTTTGGGGAGGAACACGAAAGGCCCCCATCTAATCTAAGGACGAAGGGATCGACGCAACCGGTCGAGTTTTTGAGATAATTAGCGCCTGGCTCGCAACGCCGCAAATGCTCTCGATTCAAAATTGCTCCGAACTCGGTAGGTTTTCTTGCTGCCATTTTTAGGAAACTCCTACTCGATGCTTCAGTAGTTCGGATTCAAGTCGAAAGAATCTAGCTTGCTTGGATCCCTGACGCTTGGGTTATCTTCATCCTCCTTTCCGTACACCAACAATGTCTCCTCGAACGGAGACGCTGTTAATGCTCGGAGAAGGCATACATTACGCGACTCCGGTGATACCCAGTCTCGCGATAACTGAAGCTGAAGTGGTACGAGGCGTTCTCCAAATGCTACAAGGTCTCTCGCTCTCCGGGTCCCTCTTCCGTTGGGACTCGAATTCGCGCTCCTATCGTGTTTCCCAGCCGGGAATCTACCTCACTCACCTCTCCCGCTCCAGCCTACACAACCTTCTCCATCAGTTCATCTACGCAGCCACTTGCTTGCGACTTGTGGAACTTTTGCTCGATAAGCTGAGATCGGTGGCTTCTACTTCCATGCCTACTTTGAGCGCTTTTGTGTCTTCTGCCTCCTGTTGGCTCAAGGTTTGTTGCTAGCTTTCGTTGTTGATTGCATCTGATTTGACAATCATGGGTTTGTTTTCTGGCATCCTAATGTTCAATGAGGGGTTTTTTCCATAGAGGTTGAGGGATATTGCTTTGAAGGAGGAAGTGAAGGTATGCAATTCCAGTGTTGAAACCACTCCCACTATGTTGGGACTGTCGAATTCCTTATCTAGGTGAGTCATTTCGTTTGTATGTTTTAGCTTAGCGCAAATGGAGCTTAGTTTGGACGAATAGGGGATTAGTGGTAGGAACTTTTTATCTCTTGCTGAATAATGAAAGGCAATGCAGTGTTGAGTGCTCGCAGGACTGCTGTCTTTTAACCCTTATGGTAACTGCTGATGAATTTTATTGATGATTAGTCTATGCTCAGGTGCTGAGTATCTACTGCAAATCGTTCATGGAGCTATTCCCCAAGAAACTTGTGAGCCAAATTCGTCTATTTCAGCTGCTGAAGTGGCCGTCCACATTCTTGATTATCTTTACAAGAAGTTGGATAAAGTTTGTCTCGTGGAAGGTGGTGAGGTAAGTGGAACTTCTCCTCTGCATGTGTCATATAATGTCGCTCATTTTTAAACGACATTAATTCAGGATGCCTGTTTGATTGCAGGAGGAAGGATATAGATTAGTGCTTCATATGTTTGTGGCAAGTCTATTGCCGTATATTGAAGCCCTTGATTCCTGGCTTTTTGAAGGGATACTTGATGATCCTTATGAGGAGGTAATTTACTTTTTTTTTTGGTTGCATTCTGGATCATGTTTATTACCTTAATGTTATTTTGCTTACCTGTTGCTATAATCTGAATAGTACTGCCTCTCGCTTTGCCTGTAGATGTTCTTTTGTGCTGATGGAGTAATCTCAATCGAGGATTCTGGGTTCTGGGAGAAGAGTTATCAGTTTAGACAAGATCATAAGCTAGATGTTCAGAACTCTGGCCACACTTCTGCTGTACCTCCAATGAAGGGCATGAAAGAGATGGGTAATAGAGATTCCATTTCTTTGCCTGCTGCTACGAAAAGAGAGGGGCACAGAAAGGAACTTCATGTTTGTCCTTTGTTTATAAGTAACCTGGCAAAGTCAATTGTCTCTGCTGGAAAATCTTTGCAACTGATTCATCATGCGCCTACATCATTGTCATGTCCATCAAGCTTTGCTAAAAGTTACATGAGCGGGACTGATGGTTTTGGAAGCAATAATTGTGACCATAAAGTAACCAGCCAACAGCAGAGTTTAGCTGGGTTAACTTTGTCAGAGGTATTCTGTGTTTCAATAGTAGGGCTTGTTGGCCATGGTGATCATGTCCATAAGTACCTGTTAGATGACATAAGCCAATCCAGCATTGCCTCCACTTCTGGGGCTGATGCAATTAGCAAAGAGATGCGTAATAGTAACTGTGAGAACTCAGCCGTTTCATTTTGCTCGGAGAAGATATGGTATAAATTCATGTTGGATGCATTTTATCAGAAAAAAACCACTCATTTAGGATTTTCTGGTCCAGCTGAGATTGAGAAACATACGATCTCAGGATTTGTAGTTGGATCACAACTCCATAAGTCATTCTTTCCTGAGAATCCAGTTATAACTGTCTGTCAAGCTCTACTCAAGAATCACAAAGAGACCTGGAGCGCATTGAACTTGTCAAGAAATTTTTCTCTGCCTCCTTTGAATGATGATACCTTGCATGAAGCTGTATTTGGTGGAAACAATGACAGTGTCAGAAGAACAAACTATGCTCTGGGGTTTCAATACAGTGAATCCGAGTATGCTCGTTCAGTCAATGAGAGAAAGCTCTTAGAACAATTATTTCCTTTTCCCACAGTTCTCCCTTCCATACAGGTGACATTCTGGTGCTAGTATTTCCTTTCTAATCAATTCATGTGTCAAAAATTTCTAACTGTCTACTACCAAACAGGATGATGACCCAATTTCAGAGCACTTTCCTTTCCAGAAGAATAGCACACTTCCATCGAGGGCTCTCTGCTGGATTCTAAATGTTGAACCAATAAGCAATCCACATCCTGTAGTTATTGTGCAGGAATGCCTATATGTTTACATCAAGAAGCAGGTATCTTGCTCACTACATTTTGTTCTGCTTTCATTATTTAAAGCTTGTTTGAAGAAACTTCAAATGATAGAGTGCCCATACTCTTACTTATTTTTCTTCCCTATTCGTCATAGGTGGATTATGTTGGCAGGATGGTATTGTCAAAGTTGATGAATGAGTGGAAATTGATGGATGAGCTTGCAGTACTCCGGGCCATATACTTTTTAGGTTCAGGTACTATATTATTATTGTACCCTCTTCTATTCCTACCTTGTGAGGCAGTGATCTTGGGTTTCCTTTACATTGCTTTTCATGCGTTGGCATCTTCAGGTGATTTGCTGCAGCACTTTTCAACCATACTTTTCAGTAAGCTGGACAAGGGAGAAACCTGGGATGATGATTTTGAGCTAAACACTATATTACAGGTCTACTTATCGGATTGATGAGTCTTTGAGTTAATGATTTTCCGCATTACTTGTTCTTCTAACCTTCTCTACTCCATTGTCTTCAGCTAAACTCCAATATGTGCATTATCAAGAATCTGAATTCACTGCTTGTTTTGGCTCCCTCAGAGATTTCAGTTTATTTATGTTCTTCACTAGTATTTTCTTGACATTTGCACTCATAAAAAAGCTCTATGCGCATTGTACCTTGGCTTATGCCTTCTTATGTTGATGCAGGAATCAATTAGGAATTCTGCAGATGGTAATCTACTCAATTCTCCAGACTCCTTAGTTGTCACCATCACCAGAAATCAAGGATTTGATAGTGATGAACTTCCTAATACACCTCGAGGTATCTCAACTCAGAGAAGTCACCCAAACAACTTTGGAATTGATGGCCTTGCCTCATTGAACTTCTCATACAAGGTTTGTTAAGTATCTCCTGCCACTATGAATGTTTTAGAATGTGTCTCCTGACCAAATAACTGGATTTTCTGGCAGGTATCTTGGCCACTGGAACTTATTGCTAATACAGAGGCCATTAAGAAGTACAACCAGGTAACTTCTTTCATCTTCTTGCACTGAAGGAACTATATTATTCTTTATTCTGTGATGTTGATTGTCTTTTTATCAGGTGATGGTATTCTTGTTGAAGGTCAAGCGAGTTAAGTTCGTACTTGATAAAGTCCGAATGTGGATGTGGAAGGTTCTCTTTCCTTTTCCTTCGCGTTCAAAGTTAAACTAATAAAACAGATTGAGTTCCATTGTTATGTTTTGAATTTTTAAGCTATTATAACTCTCTTCCTTACTTACAAGCTCCATTATCAGGGTAAAGGCAACACGAGAAACAGCTCCAAACGTCACTGGTTGGTGGAACAAAAGCTCCTTCATTTTGTCGATGCCTTTCACCAACATGTTATGGATGGAGTAAGGCCCTTTACCATGATTTGTTTACCTCTTCTTTGTAATCAACTTGCATGCCGTTGTAAGAACAAGAAGAATGCTAAGATCAGGATATTTGTATCACATTTATTAACCGAGTACCAGGAGCAATACGTACATCCCATTCTCTCTTTTATTGACGCCTTTGACAGTTAAAATACAACTCTGAGCTAGTTATACATCCCGTTATGGGGACTAAGTGAAAAAAATAAAATGGAGTGCTTTCTGTTGAGGTCAAAGAATTACTAAAATGAGAGGCATTCCTTTCTTCTGGCCTTATAAGGATCTTGTGCTTACAGGTATATCATAGTGCATGGCGTGAGCTTTGTGAAGGTATGACCTCAGCTGGCTCTCTCGATGAAGTCATGGAAGTACATGAAGCCTACCTACTATCAATTCAGCGGCAATGCTTTGTCGTACCAGGGAAGCTGGTGATTAAACTTTTCCCCATTCTTTCGTTTTTGGTGTCTGCTGGAATTCGTTACATACTTTTGTTAGCCAGTTCCTCCTCTACTTAGTACTCTTTTCTTTCTTTGTTTCTCCAGTGGTCCGTAATTGCGAGCCGGATCAACCGCATCCTCAGTTTAGCTCTGAACTTCTATTCCATTCAGCAGACTTTAGGTAGTGGGGGCACAGCTTCTGCAATGAAGGCCAAATGTGAAATGACAATTGAACAGATCGAGAAAAGCTTCGATGACTGCATAGCTGTTCTCCTAAGAGTAATTTCCCAATTTCTTTGACCCTATGTGCATTGATTTCACCATCAAAGGAAAACCCAGAACAATCCTGGCATTATGCAAAATGAAGTTGAATCTCATTGTCTTCTATTTCAGGTGTTGTCAGTGAAGGTGAACGTGAAACACTTTCCTCATCTGGCTGATCTGGTTACCAGAATTAACTACAACTACTTTTACGTGTCTGATAACGGTACGCTGATGACTTCCACTGGCCCGGGAACTGGTGTTTCGAGAACGGTGAAGCCATTTTAAAGCAGAACTGATTCTCTGTATATGTAATCTGCATTTATGAGTCTTATGAACCATGTTTGCGTGGGACAAAATGCAAGCAGCAATGGCTTTTTTGTACAGGGTCTTGGGTTCTTAAAATTCATGGTATTGACCCAAAATTCGAACTCAGAGACGCTTTTTGGTTGGATATATATGTTTGTGTTTTAGTGAGTAAACAATTTTTATACCTTGTTTGAGTGAGAAGGTTTTGGTCTAGTGGTCAAAATCCGGAAAACAATTTAAGAACTCTTGCCTTCCCATGTACATTGATAGTCCGGGGCTCTATCAAGTAAAAGAAGGGAAAATAGTCAAAATACACATTATCTTTGATAGTTCGGGGTTCGCCAACCTACGCAACTAAGCGAACTAACTCATCATGTGAACCCGTTTGTGGGGTACATAAATGCATCTAGGGGGTGTCAGTTCGGGTCGGGTTCGGTTACCCAAACCGAAACTCGAAAAAACCCGAAAACCCGAAACCGAAAAATCATTAAAATTGAACCCGAACCCGATAAAGACTTGTGGGTTCCGGTTACCCGAAACCCGAAAATTCCTTATCGGGTTTGGGTTCGGTTAAAGCAAAACCGAAATCCGAAAACCCGAACGCTTTAAAATATGGGCTGAGTTCTTTTCATTGGAGGTTTTTAGCCGGAACCTGAAAAACCGATAAGCAAAACCGAACCCGAAACCCGAAACGAACACAAACCCGAACTCGAACCCGAAAAACCGAAAATGAATATAATCGGGTCGGTTTCGGGTAAACCCGAAAAACCGAACCTAAATGGACACCCCTAAATGCATCATTGAGTACCTACATGCCTCCTCCAACTTAGCCACCATCAAAGGAATATTTTAAATGAACTCTGAGGGTTTTCTGGCCGAGCCCAAAACGGCGACCAAGGCTCTTGATGTCCCCCAACACGTATAAAGTGACCCACTAGAATGCTATACTTCGAAAACACACAAAACACTGCTAAAGTGCATCAAATGATAAAAGATAGCCTATATCTACTAATTATGATCATTATATGAGGATCTAAAACAACTATTTCTACGTGTCATGTTTCATTCATATTCATATCTCACTATTGTAATCAAATTAATTTGGAGGGCAGACAAAAACTAGTACATCATAATAACAAGAATTAAAAAATAAACAAAATGCTCCTTTAATAGAGGTCACTACCTTATAGTAGAAAAGAAATTCGACTGACTCATCCGCCTTTCTCTCTTCTCATTTTTTTGTTCTCTAACTTCTTTCTAGAAACCTCCCTATATACGGTCAAGGGGTTTCCGCCGGCGTCCGCCGCCCCTTCGCCTTTCCTTCTCCTATGTTTTCGTGCTTTATTTTCATTCTCCTTTCGTTTTTTCGGTCTTCTTTGCCTTGTTTGGCTCTGGTTTCTGCCTCCTTCAGGGCTTTCGTGTCCTTCCCCTCTGCGGGATGCGTTTTGGCCTCTGATTTGTTGATGCAAATCTAGAGATGATGTCCGTTCTATGTTGCGAAGGAGGCCAAATCTGACCCAGATATGACTTGTTTTATCCTTTTCTCTCCCCAGCCTACCTCCTTGTTTCACATTGCAGGTTTTGATGATTCGGAGATGCAGCCTTTTGGCGATGGACTTGGTTAGAAGAGCTTGAAGACATAAGTGCACATGCCTCTATTTTCCTTTGCCGGCCAACCGGTCGATCTATCGTTTTATCGTAATAAATAACTAAATGCTAAATTTTTTTAACTCTTAACACTTAAAGAATCATCCTATTAGTTTGGATTTTACCACAATAACAACTATCCTACCACCATGGTACAACCACAATACAGTTTTCACCATCATTATGTTTATAGCAATAAAAATTACAAAATGCAGTACTTGGCCATCGAAGAATCATCATTTTAAAACTACAATTTACCATAGCTGCAGTTATTCTACCAAGAAGATCCAGCCTTAGAACATTTCCCACCATCATTTTGTTCAACTGGATTTTCTCAAAAGAGAAAGAAAATATATCACCATGGTACAAGATAACTTCAAACATGAAACTCTTTAAAATCCAATGAGTTTGAGTAAATCAGTGCCCACTCAAGCTTCTTCAATGCATGAGCTTCTAGATAGCAGATGACAGAAATTTTCATGATAGCTGTGTTTGGGTTCATGTTTTGTCTCCCTTTTTTGGGTTATATTATTGGTTTTGATATGTCTACTCCATACATAATCCAAAAAAGACAATCCAAGAAAGACATCTTTGAAATAGAGTGAAAACAAGATAACAATACTGGCAAAAGTGAAAGATTTAGCTTTCAAATGATGAAAATATAATTAAAATAAGACATGCAAAATAGAGTGAGAACAAGATAATTACACTGGCGAAGCAAAGGAAGAAAAAAAAGCTGATGAAAATAGGGCCCAACCGGGTTCGAACCGGTGACCTATTGATCTGCAGTCAATTGCTCTACCACTGAGCTATGGACCCAATTGCTGATAATTACATTCATATAGATTTATTTATTGGTTTGTCACAACAGTACTAGTTTCTATCCAAGTAGGTACATATATTTTAATTGGAACAATTGTAAAGTGCATATGTCTAATATGGTTCCTTCCGGCCATATGATCCATTGACAATTGCAGAATTGGCAGCAGAGAATATAAACAAATATAAAATATAGATATTGACGAGAAACAACAATAAATTATAGGAGATCGAATCGTCAAAACACAAAATATCACTCAAATAGCAAAACTCAACACAGAGTCCAAGTTAGCCAAACAAACTCAATTATCTTGAAAGGAAAAAAAAAATCAGAAACACAAAATGAATTGAAACATAGTAAGATGGAGTGGTGGAGTGTAATTTGAACTACACATGACGAGAACCAGAAGAAGAACCACAAACTAATTCAAGGTCCATGAACTAAATTACATCAACATAAAAATAGGGGAAAAATGTTCCAAAAGATGCAAAAGCAGTAAAAATTGTTTGAGATTATGCAACAAACCATGTCATCACCTACTAGGAGAGTTTTTAGCAAGAAACTTTCTGAACGATCTCTTGTGGAAGCTCGTGACAAGATGCTAGAAATTAGAGCGGGAAAATTCTTAAACCAGACAAAAATCCTCTCTAACTAATTCATTTTGTTATCTTTAAAAAATTTATTTAAAATACGTATTGATAATTATCATATCAGTGACAAATCATGATATTAAAAGGTATGATGACATATCTCATCGTTTCAGCTTAAAATTAAAAAAAATTACATATACATAATGCCTTAATCATGATATAAACAATGATATCCATTTAGCTATATTTTGAAAGAGAAAAAAATATACCTTGACTAGATTACATAGCATAGTGGTGACCTCGAGGTCGTATTCCCGCAGATTATTAGATACACTGCTACTTCAAAGTTTTGTTATAATCTAACAATTAAGTGATAAATTACTTCCAATATAAACAAAACAATATCTTGCAACTTGACGATTAACTCAATCAAAGATGAGGTACTTGGGGATTATATCCCATAAGTACTCTAGGTTGAAGCTAACAAAAAGAATTATTCATGGAGTCCCCTAGGCGATTTCACCGGACTTCTTTTCGATGGTTTCACCGAACTTGGATTAGGTGGATGGTCAGGTTCAGATATAGACCCTTGCGAGATTCTTGGTTATGTGAACTATCGTACATGATAGGGTGTTAACGTTGCTTATTGAAAGGCGAGTGATAGATCGTATGAATGACAAGTTGACGATGGTTCATTGTCTCATTAATAGGTTTTTCGAGGGAGGAAAATTATGGATTATCGAACACGAGGTTATGCATTATCTGAAAAATAAAATGGTGGGGAAGCAACTTTTCATGGCTTTCAAGGTGGATACAGAGAAGACATATGATAGGGTGGAATGATCGGTTTTTTTTAATCATTTCTTGAGAAACTTGGTTTCGATGGGTAATGGATAAGTTGGTTACGGGCTTGTGTGACTTCTCCGACTTTTTCAATCCTAATGAATAGAAAATCAGCAAACTACTTCCCGACTTAGCTTGGACTTCGGATGGGGGGATCCTCTATCCCGCTCTTGTTTTCAATTTCGTTTGAGGCTTTGCCTCACTTCTTCAATAGGAAATTTCAAATCTAGTGTTGACGACAGTTTGTATCAGCCCTTGATGCCCTGTGATTTCTCATTTATTCTTTGTAGATCAGATGACTCACGGTTGCTGGGTGAGGGCGCAGTTGGGGTGACAGATTAGTACTTAGTCCTCCCATCTCTTGTGGAACGTTTGAACATATTCTTGGACTACTAAGGAGATCCTAATCAAGGTTTTTCTTAATGCTTTACCCATTAATGTGATGTCTTGCTTCCTTCTTCCCTTTTCCTTGTGTCTTTCGCTGGATAGACACTTGGCCAAGTTTTGTGGGGTGTGAATCATGGTGAAAGGCGAATTCACTGAGAGGCCTAGAAGTTGTTATGTTTGAGTAAGCATGAGAGAGGACTGGGTTTCATGAGGTTTGAGGAGTTCAATCAAGCATTACTTGCAAAGATAGCTTGGCATAATTTGGAAGGAGTCTGAATCACTTTTAGCCCGATTGTATAAGGAAAGATATTTCCCTAAATCCTCGATATTAAACGAAAAGACAAATGTGTTACCATCTTACGGATGGCAAGGGTTGTTGGGTGAGCGTGATTTGTTGGCTAAGCACCTCGGCTGACAGAATGGTTCAAGAACAATGTTGGAGGTGCTCACAGATAACTAGGTGCATGCCTTACACCCAACACCCCACGACCACGCTATAGGATATTTGGGGTTCAGATGACATAATTTATTCACTCTAAGCAAAGGGTTTGGCAGGTGGATTGCTTGCGTCAAATCTTTGAGGAAGACAAGGTTCATGCAATTTTGGATGTTCCTTTACGAGTTTCTCCTGTTAAGTGGATTTGAGGAGGTAGAAGTTTCAGGTGTTTATACTGTAAAATAAGGATATCGTTTGGTAGTGAAATTGAGGAGGCAGAAGGAGCTATTGCTAAAGTGACAGCCCTACCATAGGACTTGAGTCTTATGATGTCGATTTTGGGGCTCTGATACCCCTTAAGTTGCAATACTTTGTACGGAAACTTGTGCGATGTGTCTTACCGATTGGTGAGGCATTAAGCTTTCGACAGTGAACTCTAGAGTGGTGTCTAGTTTGTGTGGAGGAGGCGGAATCTCTGGAGCATCTCTTCTTTTACTATAATGTGGTGGATGGGCTGTCAAAAGAGTCTGAAATAGTGGGGCTCCGGGATCACTTCCTCTAGGCTATACGAGAACCTTCTGGCGCAGGGTGCCAAGTAGAAGGAGCTTGGTCGTGGTGGCCTGATGTTGGTTGTGGCGTTGTTCTGGCGAGTCTGGCAAGGTAGAAATTGAGCATCTCATTTTCGTTTGCAGGTTGCAGAGTGAGATGTATTTAGAACAATGAGGATGCTTGGCCCCAAAAAGACAATTCAAGATTGGGAAAACTAGCGGATGGACTTGGGGGTACGGTGTTAGAGGAGGTTTGCGGATGCTCGTGGGGGTACGGTGTTACAGGAGGTTCAAGCGTTGATAGCCTCATTTCATCATTGCTATGTTCCGTTTGTTGGCGGTACATGTAACATGGTTGTCCACGTGTTGGAAAGAAAAATATTTTTCGTTGTTCCCTTCATTAGTAGGGTTCGATTTCGTTTCTTGATCATTTTCAGTTATGCGTCACTTTGTATATGACTGATTTTCTCAATAATACGAGTGATTATTGACGAAAAAACTTTTCTTTTTCTTTATTACAAAAAATATGAAAGAAATATTCAGAAATCCAATTAAAATATGGCTTGACCTAAATTCTAAATATACAACTAAATTTGATGTTGGTCCAACATCGGTCACAGGAATGATAGGGATTCCGGTGACCAAGAAAAGCAAGAAGGCGAAGAAGTAACCGATGAAGACCGGTGAGACGAACAAGAGCTAGAAGAGTTGGAGCAGAGGCTATTATTATTACTAACACCGTCACCAGCGTAAGAGGATGACAGCAACGGCGCCGGGTTCCTGACCACAAACGGCACCAAATCTTCGAGCAAGCCCTGGGGAGCGGCATTCATCAACAACAATCCATCAGAATCTCCGCCATTACCATCAGTCAGAACTGAACTTGCCGACTCCGTCCCTGGCCGCGGTTCTTCCCGGAATCGTTCTCCTGACTCTGTTCCCGGGGAAGTTGTTCTGGGCCTTTTCGGCGTCGGAGGATTATCGCCGCCGCCGTCAGGGATGTGCGGGAAAAAGGGGTAAGCGAAGTGTAGATGGAGGCCTTCGTAGGTGATGATGATTATGTCTTCTTCGTCCCTCGACCTCTCCACTTGCTTCTTGGCGCTGCACCGTGGATTTGTGCATTTGTAATAGCTCCTGTCCGGTCATCGACAAAACAGACGGAACTGTTTCGTGAGAAAAAGGTTTCCTTTCTAGCTTATAATAACTAGCTGGGTTAGCTCAAATTTTATCCAAAAAGTGAAATTTTCAAGATACCAACTTTCCCTACTGACTCTTACGGCATTTTGTGTTTAGTCTGCTAGTTGGATTTAACAAGAAAATGGTAACGAGAATCTTATGTATTAATGCTAAAAGCTGACTAGTTGCCAAGTTAATGATGTGGGAAATCATATATACCTTGGGTAAGGGCTGTTTTTGATGGACTTCTGTCCGTATTTCCTCCATTTATAGCCGTCATCCGCCATTCCGTTCGCGCACCATTTGAGTTTCACAGTGTACTTGTTGCTGTCGATTCTGTTAATTCCCCTCTCACGCAAGCTAACTCTGCAATTAACCCAAAAGAAAGCTAAAAAAACAGAGGAACTCTGTTTTTTCAAGAACGGAAACAGAGCATCCCCAGAGAAAGCACAATTGGATATCAGAATCGGCGATTCGAACCTGGAAGGAGAAACCAAAACCGACCCAGATTCAGACACCGATTCGGGTTGCTGATTCATCCATTGGGCCTGAATTTCCTGAACCATCGGCGGTGAACGCAGAGTGGACTGCATGATTTGGGTAGTTGCCAATTCTTCGGCGGGGATTGGGTTGCGTTCTGGTGGCGAATAGAAAGGGAAGTCATTGTCGAGAAGCTGTCGCACGATGAGCTCATCGTCGAACCAAGTGGTGATGGCTTCTGCTTCGCCGGCGGCCGTTCTGCATTCCATGAATCGATAAGAGGGGAGTGAAGAGAAAGAGGGAGGGAGAGAGAGTATTGGAAGGAAGGAAGGAAGTGCGAAGAAGGGAAGAGACAAGCTATGGTTTTATGATGAAAGGAAAGGAGTGGAGTAGATGGAGAAGATGAAAAAACACCAAAACAAGGTTTTGGGTGAGAGATGTTTTTTTTTGTCTTTGTTTGCGTTGAGAAATCACAAAAAACCAATTCTCCTTACCCCGTGCCCCCTTTGACTTTCCTCAACTAATGCAATTTGATGTTTGTACTATCTAGCACTAGAATTTAAGACTCAGAGAGTATGTTTTGGACATTTGATGCAAGCAGTAGTTACATGTTTTCTATTCAAGTTTTATTAGCATGATTAGTTTTGCTAATTATATCAAGAGTAATCTATTATATTTGTATTTATGGTTTAGTGTGTTTATGGTTTAGTGTGTTGTTATTTGTATTCTACCTACAACTGTATATTTGGATTTATGGTAAAAATAGCATTAAGTGGCTCATTTCAATGACGATGATCCTAAAAAGCTCAGGTATTCTATACGATTCTTGAAAAACTATAGTCTATCTTCACATTATATATATATATAAATAATATGGTTGGTTCGAAATTTAAGATATCATTATAAGAGAAGTGATTATAATGATAAAGGAAACCAACGAGTTCCAACAAGAGGAGGATTTGATTTGGTTGAAGAAGAAGAATAAATTAAGAATTTGAGACCTGAGGATAAAGTTATATTTTGTGAAACTATAATGTATTATATACAAATAACAACTATTTTTGTTTTAAAAAACACAACTAATTTCATGATTTATTGAGGTTTGGTGGTAGAAAATATAGACGTAGGGTTCAAGTCTCACTGATAGCTAACTTTTGTATCTACATGTACTTTTTTTCGCCGAACCAATGCCTTAGGTTTGCTATTGGGCACGACCTACTTATTGATCGTGTCGTGCTTGTGTTGGAGCTCATGTCCATGAAGTTCAGGCCTTTCATGCCTATAATACATTCCTCATCGTGTCAAGGTAACCAATATATTTCATACCTGTACTAGTGTGATGATGCCCAAACCGTGTCGTAGCATACTAGCTCGTGGACACCACGACCCAATGTCCAAGTACAACACATGTGTAGTTCGCTCGTACAATTAATATAAACTAGTTTTTTCACCCGCGCTTCGCAGCGGTAAGAAACTAATTATTTATAATTTCATCTACTTATTTAATAATTTAGGTCAAATAAAATAATTCATAAAACTGTTATGGCATGATACATAAATAAGTTTCAGGTTTTCGTCTCTATCATTAAGAAAGAGATACATCATACTTTACATAAGGAATAAATATCCCTTCTTAAGTTTTCGTAGTGTCTTAATAATTACAGATGACTAATATATTTGCTTAATTGATACATAAGAAATAATTATCCGTCCATTAGCTTTACATGGTGTCTTAATCATTATGTAAGACTCATGTATTACCTTTGTTTAATTGACATAAGAGATATAACTATCCTCTGTAATATTTACTTAAAGTATTTGTAATTTACGTAATTATTTTTGGATAAGGGTGAAATATGTGGATTTTTTTAGTTAGGTTGATTACGTAATTGTTATAGAATGTTATTACACATATCTTCAATAATAAGTGGTCTAATAATAAAATTAGAAAATATCACATTTGATTAAAATGCTATATAAAAATTTACAAAATCTTAGAGTAGTGCAAATAACAAAGAGCTCATAGAGAAGTGCAAATAACTATCCTCTATAACATTTACACAATGTGTTTGTAATTTACATAACGGTTTTTGGATAAGGATGACATATGTTGTTTTTTATAGTTAGGTTCGATTTATCTAACTGTTATAAAATGTTATTATACAAATCTTATATATTATGTGGTCTAATAATAAAATTAGAAAATATATTACATTTGCTTAAAATGCTATATAAAAATATACAAAATCTTAGAGTAGTGCAAATAACAAAGAGCTCATGGAGAAGTGCAAATAACTATCCTCTATAACATTTATATAATGTGTTTAATTTACGTAACTTTTTTTTAGATAAGAGTGACATATGTTGATTTTTATAGTTAGGTTGGTTGACGTGACTATTATAGAATGTTATTACATAAATCTCTCACAATATGCGGTTTAATAATAAATTAGAAAGTATCGCATTTGATTAAAATGTTATATGAAAATTTAAAAGACCTTAAAGTAGTACAAATAACAAAGAGCACATAAATAGTGAAAATAACAATTAGCTTATGGCGAAATTGGGTACATGGCTCACAATATGCGGTTTAATAATAAATTAGAAAGTATCGCATTTGATTAAAATGTTATATGAAAATTTAAAAGACCTTAAAGTAGTGCAAATAACAAAGAGCACATAAAATAGTGAAAATAACAATTAGCTTATGGCGAAATTGGGTACATGGGATAAATATCCCTTAGTGAATAGTGCATTCCGCTATAAAAATGCCCTTTGTTTTCGTAACAATAGAAAGTAACTCAACTACAATAATAAACAATGGCTATTTTCCGAAAAAAAATGGGATTGTGGAGATTTTGTCGTATGCAACAGTGAATTAGCCTTTGGTTTACTTGAGCTTTTAATTAACTAATAATATTAACTCGTTAAATTATCAAAAGCAATCATAATTGTGAATTTCTTCAACCAAATTATCAAAATCAAACATAGATATAAAACCAGAAAAATGCCCCTTAACTCGATTCATCAAGCCATCAAGGATTGAGAATTGTACCAATATCTTGGTATTGCCTTCCCAATATATTTCATCATGTGTTAAGACTTAAGATGGAATATGTACTATACCAATCACACAATTCAAAAACTAGGGTAAGAAAGAAAGCCATAGGTTTTGGTTCACATATACAAGGTACAAAACAGTTGACATGGGTCACCACCCTCATTATTTATTGAAGAGAGGCAGCAGCAGCACCATTGAAGGATATGTTTGCATGGGGAGGTAATAGACAACATCTGCAGTGATGGAATGGTCAACAGGCAAAGTCTTGACAATTTTTGAGGAAATCAAATGAAAAAAAAAGGATCGAAGTTTTTTGGGGTGGGCTTTGATTTGATCCATCAAACTGGCCTTTTGAATTTTCATGGAATGATGCTCAAACTTCCATGTTTGTATCTCCACACTTGTTGTTTCTCATTTTTCCCCCTACTCAAACAGTGCGCTCTGTATATGGCTTTTTGTGTTCTCGTTTTTGGCTTGTTTTTTAGCACTGAACAACAACTCCTGTCTTCTTGCTATATATGCAACCAGTTCTGTTGATGGGATGGGTGAATGAATCGATCAATTTAAGTCCAACCAAACAATCATCATGTACGAACAAAGAAGAGGGGGGAAAAGAAACACTTCCCATGACCCACCCTGCTATGGTTTACTAGTGTCGGTTACCCAAACCAACCAAGAGTCAACCACTAAAGAACTCAATAAACCTAACTTTTGTTTCGTGCGATGTTGTTTAACAAATATGTTATTTCATATGTTTGGCCCGGCTTTTAAAAGTGCTTTTAGTCTTCAAAAACTGAAGCATGGCTAAACACCTGTAAAAGCTCGGCTTTTTAAAAGTCGAAAAACGCTTTTGTATAACATAAAAGCAGAAGCTCTGATTTGAAACTTTTGCGACAAGCTGTTTTGAAAATACAAGATTATCCTTACCATATTTTAATTTTATTTCAGAAAATATAATTTTCCTTCATTTATATCATTTTAAAAATAAAATAAATTATAAAATCATATTATTTAATATAAAAGAAATCTAACAAGATCCATTTTGTTTACTTTTTATTGTTTAGAATTTTTATTCATATTTTATATTATAAGTCCTTTATAGTCATTTTACACAATCTTTCATATTAAAAAGCACTTCTAATAGTTTTACAGCCAAACACTCAACAATTTTTTTTTGAAAAGTACTTATCTAAAAGCTCAAGCCAGAAGCTGCTTCTGCAAAAGCTACCGCAGGTCCAAACTAAGCTATTCTATAAAGGGAGTTTCCTGCAATGCCTCCTAATTTGAAAATTTTCACATGCTAAAATACACTTGTCATTTTATAATGTTTACATAACGTATGTTTATTTTAAGTAATATTTGTAAAATAATGTTACGTAATATAGATGATCTTTTTATGCAATGGATATAAATATTAAGTGACGTAAGGTATAAAATCATTACGAAAATCTCATGTAACTCGATGTTAAACAGTTACATAAGAGATAATTGTATGATGTAAGTTTTATATGATGACCATTCTTTTTGGTAATTAATGAACATTAACCCTGCATTATGTAAAGTATGAAGTTATTGTAGAAGTCTTACGTAATACTTCTGATTTTACGTAATAGTCGTAAAATATGACTATGTAAGCCTTAAATATTGAAAGTGAAAACTTTATTTGGTTTAAGTTGAGTTGAGAGATGTTGTGCTTGATGTGTGCAATATGTAGTTGTATTTCCATGTAATAAAAATCCTAGATATGTATTGGATCGTATTCGACATAGTCTTCTAATTAATAGCAACTACTCTCAAACTAATCACTTATGCTCAAACAAGGCACAAAAAGATAGAATCGTGGGTTTTGGTTTTCTACTTTTAGTTGGTTTTTGAGTTATAAGATGAATAAGTAAAGATAACTAAATAAGTAACGATAATTAGATAGATAGATAATAGATAGTAGGATAACTATGTTCATATAGCTTCATCTTGATGATCATGCATACTATTCTTATCAATGATATGTATCCATGCATATGTTTTATTATGATGCCCCATCCCTTTCACTAATTCATTCCAAACCAAGCTTTTGCTTCTTGGATGCACGAAATTCTGAGTCGGGGGCAATGGAGATTGCCTCGTTTTGGCTATCTTCAAGGAGTATTGGTTCTTCTCAATTAACCCGTATACCCAAGAGTTATTAACCGACATAAGTGACCTAACCGATATGCCATTTCCAAGCGTCGTTAACCAAGCGAGTAGTGGGTAATCAATTCTCGATTGAACCCAGAACCAACAACTATGAATCGATTATTGGTTAAACCGAGAACCGATTAACAACCCTATACAGACTCTTCTTTTGCTTGTTTCCTATTATTCATCATATTGCAAGGCAATATAAAACATGATTAATTAAGTCCACATCTCATATTTACATGCATAAACCTCATTATGTGATTGATTAAGTCTACATTCCTCGTTCATTCTTTCTTCAAGTGTAATCTCATCATCATCTTCACCGTATAAACACACCATGCATAAAATACTACTGTTGTCAAGGATAACTAGCTACTAGTCGAATGGAAGGCGAAGTCAATAATGGAATGGAACATAAACAAGGTATTGGAAAAGAGAGTAGTTAACTAATAATACCCTAATGATATAGTACTTTTCCCAAGGACGAGAAGAAGAAGTAGTAGATGGAATGATAAGAGTGAGAGAGAAACGACATCCACATGCAGATCTTCGAGTGGTTTGCATCAGAGTGAGGGGAAGTTGTGTCGTTTTGCGCCTTTGACTTTGTGAAATGACATCCTGGCCAAAAGATTTGAAGAAATGTGATAATAATACCCAAAAAAAGAAGAAAAAAAAGAAACTCAACCATTCCAACATCGTAGATCAGAGCAGGAAGATAATTGGCTTGTTGTGTGCGAGGGTTGACTGTCAGAGTGGGCTTAGGTTTTTGCTTAGCTGCTGCTGCTGCTGCATCCCACCGGCCCCGGCGGTCGGTAAAATTGGAAGGGTGCACAAGTTCAATCGGATCTTTGGACGGGTATGGGCCATGAGTCAACAAAGACGACAACAACAAAAAAAAACACAATTCCAGAGGACGATTTCTCTCCAAAAGTCAACCCCTCCGTGACCATGTGCCATGTTTGCTGACTAAGTTTCTATGCGAACTGGTTGGAGAGAAACAGACTTTTCAATAGTGAGATTGTTAAAAAGTACATTTGTTTTGGATACTGGTAGCTAGTTTCACCGGAATAGATGAAAAGATCACGGTATTCTGATGGTTTGGTTTCATTTAGAATGTGATGACAATCCGATTTATTGGTTACCAAAATTGATTATATTAAGAATTGGGTAAATATAAGTTAATATCCAAATCTTTCATTTTAAACAATATAATAGCAAAACCTTTTCGAAAACAATCTAATATCCAAATCGTCAATTTTCCGTTCGTTTGACCGTTAGTTGAAATCTACCAAAAATTGACCCGGAATAAATCCGCCCAAATTGGTGCTTAATTGACTTAATCATCGTTGAAGAATAGCCTCAGGCCGATTTCGAGATCTGTAGCCTTCAAAATTCAAAGAAAATGACATTTCGTCTCCCAAAAATTAAGAAAATGCCATCCAAAAATAAATTGGCCCAAATCGGTGCTTAATGGACTTATCTTCCGTGGAGAACAGGATCAATAGACTTCATTATCAGTGGAGAATAGCCTCGGCCTGATTCCGTGATCTGCAACCTCCCCAATCGAAAGAAAATGGCATTTCGAAAAAATCGCCCGATATCTGTGATGGTACCTCTTTGGAATCTGCAAAAAATTGACCCGGAATAAATCCCACAAATCGGTGCTTAATGGACTTAATCATGGTTGAATAATAGCCTCTGGCCGAATCTGTGATTTGTATCCTTCAAAATCCAAATGAAATAGCCTTGCGTCGCCCAAAAATTATGAAAATGTCATATTAAAATAAATTGGCCCAAATCGGTGCTTAATGGACTTATCTTCCGTGGAGAATAGGATCAATAGACTTCATTATCGGTGAAGAATAGCCTAGGCCTGATTCCGTGATCTGCAGCCGCCAGAATCGAAAGAAATTGGCATTTTGGAAAAATCGCCCGAAATCTGTGATGGCCTTTTGGAATCTACCAAAAATTGACCCGGAATAAATCCGCCAAAATCGAAGCTTAATGTACTTAATCATTGTAGAAGAATAGCCTCACGCCGAATCTGTGATCTGTAGCCTTCAAAATCCAAAGAAAATGGCATTTCGGAAAAATCGTCTGAAATCTGTGATGGTACCTCTTTGGATCTGCCAAAAATTGATTCGGAATAAATCCCCCCAAATCGATGCTTAATAGACTTAAGTATCGTTAAATAATAGCCTCAGGCCAAATCCGTGATTTGTAGCCTTCAAAATCTAAAGAAAATGGTCTTTCGTCGCCCAAAAAATTACGAAAATGTCATCTGAAAATAAATTGGCCCAAATCGATGCTTAATGGACTTATCATCTGTGGAGAATAGGATCAATAGACTTCATTATCAGTGGAGAATAGCCTCAGCCTAATTCCGTGATGTGCAACCTCCAGAATCGAAAGAAAATGACATTTCGAAAAAATCGTCTGAAATTTGTGATGGTACCCCTTTGGAATCTGCCAAAAATTGACCCGTAATAATTTCGCCTAAATTGGTGCTTAATGGACTAAATCATAGTTGAAGAACAACCTTAGGCCGAATCCGTGATCTGTAGCCTTCAAAATCCAAAGAAATTGGCCCTTCGTTGCCCAAAATATTACGAAAATGCCATCCGAAAATAAATTGGCCTAAATCGGTGCTTAATGGACTTATCATCTGTGGAGAATAGGATCAATAGATTTCATTATAGGTGGAGAATAGCCTCGGCCTGATTGCGTGACCTGGAGCCTCCAGAATCGAATGAAAATGAAATTTCGGAAAAATCGCCAAAATCTGTGATTGTACCCCTTTGGAATCTGCCAAAAATTGACCCGGAATAAATTCGCCCAAATCGGTGCTTAATGGACTTAAACATCGTTGAAGAATAGCCCCAGGCCGAATCCGTGATCTTTAGCCTTCAAAATCTAAAGAAAATGGTCTTTCGTCGCCCAAAAAATTTCGAATATGTCATCCGAAATAAATTGTCCCAAATCGGTGCTTAATGGACTTATCATTCATAAAGAATAGGATCAATAGACTTCATTATCGGTGGAGAATAGCATCGGCCTGATTCCGTGATCTGCAACCTGCAGAATCGAAAGAAAATGGCATTTCGGAAAAATCGCCCAAAATCTATGATGGTACCCCTTTGCAATCCACCAAAAATGGACACGGAATAAATCTGTCCCAATGGGTGCGTAATGGACTTAATCATCTTTGAAGAATAGCCTCAGGGCGAATCCGTAATCTGTAGCTTTCAAAATCCTAAGAAAATAAAAATTCGTCGCCGAAAAAATTATCAAAATGACATCCGAAAATAAATTGGTCCCAAATCGGTGCTTAATGGTTTATCATCCGTGGAGAAAAGGATCAATAGACTTCTTTATCGGTGGAGAATAGCCTATGCGTGATTCTTCGATCTGCAGCCTCCAGAATCGAAAGAAAATGGCATTTCGGAAAAATCGTCAGAAACCTGTGATGGTACCCCTTTGGAATCTGCCAAAAATTTACCCGGAATAAATCTGCCAAAATCGGTGCTTAATAGACTTAATCATCGTTGAAGAATAGCCCCAGGCCGAATTCGTGATCTGTAGCATTCAAAATCTAAAGAAAATGGCCTTTCGTCGCCCAAAAAATTACGAAAATGCCATCCAAAATAAATTGTCCCAAATCGGTGCTTAATGGACTTATCATCCATGGAGAATAGCATCAATAGACTTCATTATCTATGGAGAATAGCCTCGGCCTACTTTCGTGATCTGTAGCCCCCGGAATCGAAAGAAAATGCCATTTCCGAAAAATTGCCAGAAATCTATGATGGTGCCCCTTTGGAATCTGCCAAAAATTGACCCGTAATAATTTCGCCCAAATCGATGCTTAATGG